TCTGCTATATTCTGGCGATATCTTCATGAGCAAGAACAGATGCCGTATCCCCATATTAAAACTAGTGCTGTCAGCGTTAATCTCGTTAAAATGACATTAACGCCCTAACCGCATTAACGTGGCAAATCTCCGTTGGCGAGTTAGCGCGGATTGCCCCGTGCGTGGGGCTGGATGGCGCTGACGCTAACGAGCTAACTGCATTGATGCCGTGCAGATGTCAGTATCTGCATTTATAACAGCCAATAAATGAAAATTAAAAATAAAAAAGATGAACGGGATTCACTTACCGCAACATCTGCAGTCAGGATAAGCAGTCACACAAAACTGGTCATCATTTCACTAAGTCAACAAGTTTCCCCTGCACTTTCACACGAGAAGGATGGTGTTGGCAGCATCTGACTGATTTCAAACATTGATAAATGTACGGGCAGCTAAACTGTACTATGGGAAAAATATGAAGAGGTTAAAAACATAATATAGTAGAAACTGAAAGCTGTGTGCTTAAACATTTAGAGCAAAATGGAGTACATAATCTGCCTTTAGTCATACTGGCAAAGAAAATGAATCATTCAAAAGTATGTTTAGTTTGTTGACTCACTGCTGCCAATGCCTGTCGCACACAAACACCAAATAGCCAGTGAAAATATAGAGTATCACATAAAGAAAGAGAAATGCACAGTTTTTGACTTTATGTTTCCTTAATTATATAAACATGGGTTTATGAGTGAAAAAAACATTATGCAGGTACACGAGGAATATGGGAAATTGGGGATTCAGTTTTAGCATAAGCACCATTTGAGCATTTTCAATCAGTTTAGTTGCCTTTCCCACCTTCAAGTAATGCATTTGGGTTCTTTTATACTCTTGATGCACAGCGGAAGATTTATTCCATGAAGCCCTGAGTTCGCCTCCCCCTGCTGGCTGATGATCACATAACATGGGCTCAGTTAGCAAGCCTGGCGGGGTGTCCCAATTCTAATTACTATGTGTTAGTACACCATGTAGTAATGTTGACAGCACACTGTTTTGGCAGATCGACAAATCGTGTACTGTTTTGTACTAACAAGAACGATAGAAGCAGTGCGGCACGGCTGTCAAGCTACTGCTTAGGTACGACAGTCTTTTCCAGAATATTTTGAACTGTCAGACAAAGGCATATCTTATATTGTTGGTAACTAGATAAATCCCAGTGTTTTCCATGTCTACACGGATAATCAAACCTGTTCAACCAGGACACCATTTTTTTTAACTTTTGCTTTCCTTTGTGTGTCTGTGTTTGTTGTTATTTGTCCTTGACGTTTTGAGAGTTCTGTGTACGACCTAAAAACTAGAATGAAATCTGTAGTTCTTGTCGAACAAAGGGAGACAAAGGCTTTCCCACAGTTGTTCTCTTGTAGATTTTATATTTTATTGCAGAGCATTTAGTTGGTCTTATTCAGACTTTCTTCAGTGTGAAATAACCAAACGCTTAGCAATTAAATTTAAAATCTGCACTGAGGACTTTGCTGAAGCCTCTGTTCTTTTTAATTGTACCATTCAGATTTGTGGGACATTCATAAATGAATTATAACATCACCTCAGGGTATGGAACTCGGCACTAGAAAACAATGGCCGCTCATAACAGACTTATGAACTATTTATATTTTCAGTGGGAGCGTGTGATGTGGCAGTGACGGGAAGGATGAAATAAATAAGAGGAAATTACATTGGACATGACAGGGCGATGTGTGGCATGGAGGGATGTAATGATGTAGGGCTAAGTCAGCTAATCTATTCTGCTGTTGTGACGACCTTCTGTGCCACAGAAACATGCACCGAGGAAACATCCGGGAGCAATGAGCACAGCTGCAGAATGTGATTCTTTACACTATTTGTATTTGCAGTAAGTTAAAAGAGTTAGCCCCTGGTCATACATATGTTTAATGCTCTGATGTGTGTGCACAGTGTTTCTTTCAAGGTCTTGTATTTTTAGGATTATTATTATGTTTAAGCCTATGCAAGCTTAGGAGGATGATAGACTGGGTAATTTGGTTCCCTGTCTCTGAAGCTGTGTGCTCGGAGGTTTGCTATTATACCTGCAGTCGTGTTTTTTTATTTTGTTTTTTAGGAGAACTTCTCTCATGCTCAGTTCTGTCAATCTTGTGTCCTGAAGTCCCCATGTAGTCAGCTCCTGGGTTCTTCTCTTCTTTTTCTCGCTGTTTTCTTTCTGTTTCTCATCATAATGTGGCTGTGGTGATGTAGTGCTGTCTCAATGCACAGGACCTACTTGTAAACTCACACACCCTCAGATCAACCAGAGATTCATAAATGCACAAAGGCCAGGGTGATAGTGGTGGTGAAGAGAAGTCAGCCTCGAACCAAGTGGCCCTTACCAAGAAAATAATAGGAGTAGAGCTCTCAAAGATAGAGAGCGCCGGTGAAGAGAAGGCAGTAAGAGGGTCTGTTTCATTTGCACCGAGTCCTCCCCTCGTCATGTAGCCAGCTGACAGGGAATATTTTTATCAGCCTGGCGCACACAGTGCAGAAAGGAAACGAACTCATTTGTAAAAGCACACTCACAACCAAGGACAAGATCTCAGCATGATAGAAGAGAGCTGTCTTTTTGTTCTATCAGAAGTGAAATCATTCATTTTTATTTATGCACTTGCCCCACCTTATCATGCAAAGGTTGTGCACAAGGCCTTTCCCACTTTGTGTCAAATGAAGCAGAAAACAGAAATGTAAAACGTGTTCCCCGCTGTCTGGACCCTTCCTGTGCTGAATTTTCTCTGTGTCAGCATAAAGACATTTATTGTCTTCCTTCGCATCGTATTTTAGTCTTTCCATTTCTTTCCGTGTCTTTTCTTCCTCGCCTCTGTGGAACTTTCTTCGAATGCAGTTGGGCTGAAAGAAGTCACCTTTGTTTAGATAGAGAATTTACTCTGTCTGTGCATTTATCCACGATATTCATGGTTTACATGTCTGTTGATTTGCATGAAGTTACAAGTTGGTAGGATGGCACAGCTTAAGAGTGCGTGAGAGGAGGCAGCAGAGACGGAGAGTGGGCATCAATTAAGCATGTGCTGAAGTGGCGTCACTGGGCTGCTGTGTTGGCATGTCTGCACCGTTCAGGAAAAACATGGCTATCTCTGGGGCATTGTTTGTAATTTGGCATGTAAGAACAGCTAGATGGCTCCTTTATGTAAGCAGTCCCAGAGTCGCAGACATAATCTCATATGCATATATTGAAGAAATAAATAATTTTACAGAAGTATATTTTGTTTTAAGATTATTATGAAAAATATTAGAGCAGCCTAATCCATTTTTACAAAGGGCTTATGCTTCCAATTGGCTTGTGTGACAATGCTTTTGAATGTGTTTTTTAATCAGGATTAGTGTTGAATGAATCTTATGTGGAAGCAGGAAACATAATTTTCTTCATCCTCAAATGGAATGCAAATCCCTTGCTCTAAATTGTTTGTTCTTCATCTCCAAAAGGACAGTCATGGCCAGAAAAATACTGTTTGATTTATTTATTTATTATTTTTCCAAAACAACACGGTTTCATCTCTTTGCAGCGACACAAATAGCCTAAGTATGACAAAGTGACAGATAGATGATCCATTGCAGACGATGTAATTGAAAACGCTAGGAGGGGGTGGACAATTAATCTCTCTTTCTCTCACTGCTTCAAATTTCCATGGAGAAATACCTCAAAATGCAGATAATTGATAAGAGTGTTATTGATTAGATGGTTTGGGAGGGGAGGCAAAGAGTTGCAGAGGTTTTCCATCACTAATCTTTCTGGCTGTGACTGCATCTAAATAACCTGCAGAGAGGGATAAACAGGCGCATCCATCATGGGATGGCTGGTGGAGACAATGATGAATGCCTCCACCCTCTGCCACCCTCCGCTGCACCTCTCTTTCCTGGTCAGGGATAGGAAGTGACACCGGCACTCAGGAGAAATACCAGGCTTCAACTGAGCAGGAAAACGCCTGCTTTAGCTCTGCTGTGATGGAAGGACTCGGGGCAGACTTTCGGTGCGGGTTGTTAGAATTATCCCCAGCCCTCCATCCCCTTGTCTCTGTGAGCTTGTAGGATTATCCATCTTGATTGATCCTGTTTGTTTTGTCAAAAAGAGAATCAGTTTGGAGGATTTCTGAGTGTGTGAACTCTCCCATGTATCCCTTCTGTGTGCTTGTATATAAATTGATTGTGTTGTGGGTTTCTTTTCTATCTGCATGCCCATGCACTGCGAGCCAAATCCCCTGTGCTGCTTCGACCCAGTGAGCAGGCGTGCCCACGCCAGCTCTCCTCAGAGGTGCCAGTCTGATAGATATGGTGTGTGTGCCAGGCTGTGCCTTTTCCTCCTCAACCCTGCGGCACTAAGATTGATCCTCTGTTCCCTCCCATTCTTTTCTCTCTTTTTCCTCTGTGTGCCTCTGCCTTTATGAGACTGTGAATAGGTGAAGCTCCCAGGCTCCAACAGATGGCCGGAGCTGCCCTGGTTCACTGTCTTGCGTGGATGCGCGCACGCAGGCACACACACACAGATATATATGCACACACACACACAATGCCCACAAACATTACTGCCCTGTGAATCAGACCCAACAGGAAGAAAGAGAGCAGAAGCACAGCTAAAACTAATGGGTAACAGCCAGGTAGGAAGACGGAAAAGACGTGCTCGAATAACAACAACAATATTCCAAAAGAAGTGGACAAAAATGCTGCTGAGAAAGGGAGCGAGGGTGAAATTGAATTGTAGATTGAGGGAGCCTCTCTCCTCCCTTTTTCCCTCCCTCTTTTATTTATCTCATGTGAAACCACGCCTCCCTCCTTTCACTTGTCAGTGCATCTATAACAGTGAGCTGTCTGCACCGGGCTGTGTGTGGGGTGAGACGATCTCCTCGCTCTGCTAGTACAGCGGACCCGATCTGACCGGACCAGACGAAGCTGGATGGTACTTGACTGGCCAAACAGGTGTGTGCATTTTTATCTGTGCCTGTGTGTGCATTTGTCATAGATGACTGGGGACAGCATGTGTATCCCTCAGTATGTGATTGCTTGTTCCTCCACAGGACTTGCTTTCAGAGTAGCGTATCTAGAAGGTACAGTGCTGGAGCTTTGCCCTAGTTTACACTTGAATGCTCCGATCCATTCTGTTCGCCTCTGAGATTTATGCGTGGAGTCGCTAACGGCACTGCTTATTGTGGTAAGAGAGATGGGACTGTTCATCGGATGCACTGGAGTATCTGGCTTTGAATCGGAGCAGTAAGGGGATAAGCTGCAGTTTATTTGGTGTAACAAGTTGGTAGTTTGGGGGCTTTAATTTGGTTTTTAAGCGATTGTCTCTAAAAGTGTTTTTCATGTTTCAGCATGCCTTATAATATGCCACCGAAAAGCAGCTTTAACAGCAGCTGTGCTGAGAATCTGCAAGTGTCTACTTTATCCACTGGAACAAGTCAGTGCAGCTTTTACTGTTATTTCGTCTGTCTTGGTGTTACATCCTATTTATAAACTTCTCTTTGTCCTCATATTTCCCAGTTTTGAGAAATGCTTTCATTGCTTTGTACTTACTCAGCCAAATATAATCCTGACTGTTGCTGAATACTGTGTGGTGTAAAATTAGAGTGAAAATCTGAACTTTTTCCCAAGAAAAGACCAGTCCAATTTTGAATGCTTTACACTGAGTAAACCTCAATTTGCAAACGGACTCCTTCAATCTTGAATCGCCATTTCGTTAAATGCAGCCGCTGCCACTCCTGTAAGAACCTGCACAGCTTTAGTCTGGTCCCTGTGAATGTACTCGTATCACTGTTTTAACGTCTTAATGGGTCAAAAGGCTGTGTCACTACCAAGTGGTGATGGTTAAGAGCAACAGAGTCAGGGGATGAGGACTGACCTAGTGGCTGCAATATTAATGACAGAGACTGCTGAACGTCCCGTGTTCTTTGTAGTGATATGGGATGAACAAATGCAAAGATGGAGGAATGGACGGAAAGTAAAGAAGCTTCAGAGATCTGTTCTTAAAGCATTCATTATTTATCACAACGCACTCTGCCATGGAGGCTCTAACCCCCACATCAACTGGCCTCTTTTCTCACTAACATGCCAGTGGACCGAAGGAGGATGCTCCTATTTAGTCTACCTGTCGGCTAATCCCCGGACATTTTAAGACTCCATCTTTATGCTATACACTTACTCTCGTACACATGCACACACCTACATGATGTTTTGTTCATATTTATGTTTGCACACACTAAGCAGTAATTGCAGGGTTACACTCACTAATGTAATGGGATGTGAAATTACAGTCGCTTATTTGTGCTGACTTAATTGCAGACATGCAGCGATTGCACGTTCAGTGCAAAATTTGTGCTCATGCACACCCAGCACATGCAGAGCACTCCGTCAACCATCAGCCATTTTCCTCTTAGTTTTGTTCTTTTGTTCACACACTCTTTCTTAGACAAATGAATTCCACACACACACACAAAAACACAGGCACAATCAGTGGGAGTGACGACCTTGAGACCTGTTGATGTTGTTTGCAGCGGCCGTGTTGTGAATACATAAGAGGCCATGTGGGGCTCCCGGCAAAAATGGGGTTCTTGACACGCCATTTGTAAAAATGGCTTGAAAATGTGCAGGAGAACTAGCGATGTGAGGCTAGTGTCAAAGTGAGACAGCAGCATGAATATGTATTGTATGTTAATCCCACACGCTTGACTCAAGCTGTTGATGAAAACAGAGGACACGTTCCCCCATCTTCACTCTGGGGAGGAAGTGCTATCGACAAACCTATTGTCAGCACAGCCTCATCCCTGGGCACGGGGGCAGAGTGGTGACAGGTGGCAGATATCGGTGACAGCAGCCAAGGTGACACTGCAGGATGGGCTCTGAGGGCCCACGGGCGACTGGAGCAGCGCTGGTGTCTGCTCTTTTTATTGCCACCTTGACCTTTTGTGGTTATACACAGGGTGGTTAGATTAGAGGGTCGTAAAGCTAATGTCACCCATTAGCTTCATTCAACCCTCTGCATGCGATGGTTTACTTCACCTGCTCCATTTCCTGGCCCCTTACATTTCCTACACAGTCTGTAGCAAAAATGTTCCCGGTCCCTTTGTTTTTAGGCATATCTTCACTTAGAATGACAGATAAACTCACTGGGCTGCCATTAAAGTGACAATAGAAACTTCCCCCACAATCCTCCTCAGTGCCACTGTTAGAAACACAACACTGAATAACACACTTGTTTAAGCCTAATAACTAAACAGACTGTGTTACTTACTGATATAGTAGAAATAATACCATATAAATTTCCTGTTTAAATCTCTTGTTAAAAAAAATGCATGCCGGCCCGAGGTTTGCTCTTGTTTTTGGTCCCTAACACTCGCCACCTTCTTCTCTTTTTATTTTCTTTTTATCTCCCCCGACGGAGGAATGGGGCTCATTTTCTATTGTCAGGTAGAGTTGTCACAGCTACTGTTGTGGTTGCATCATCCAGCAATTCAGCTACCTGGGGTAAGCTACCAATAGATACTGAGGAGAACAAAAGAGCTTCTCCTGTTTTGGTTGTGTAAACCAGAGGGCAGCCATAGTAAATTCAGACTTACAGCATTTGCGGTTAAACATTGTTGTTATTCTATAGCCTCTACTTGTGCACTCAGCATTTCTTTTAGAATGACTAATTAATGGCAAATCTTGGCAATTGGCTGTTTAAACGTAACATACTCCACTGAAAAGAGGCAGAAAGGAGGGGGTGGGAAAACAAAAACCTAACGTATACCGCCACGTGAGACAAAAAGATGCACTTAGACCTTGTGATATATCGGCTGTGGCATTAATTATATATTGGGCTTAATGAATATGTTGGGTGTATACGACTGTGTTCTGAGATTTTTAAGTAAAACACTGCTTCATGTTTTATAGGAAATATGTTTTCAAGTTTTAACCAGCAATCTAGGGTTGTACTTCTCACTGAAGAGCACAGAAACCCTCTTTATCCAGACAATAAGTAGTGGCCACGTGAATCCCTGTTCATCTGTGTCTATAAGCTGCTGTTAGCAGGTCCTGCTGAGGCGGCACCAGGAGATCAGTATGTAAATCTGAGAGCTTCTGCTCCTCTCAGCTAAAATGGAAGAAAGGCAGAAGGACTCCTTGAATGAAGCATCTCAGACACTCCTCTCTGGAAGCACAATGAGAAAGAAGCACAGTCCAGGACTGATAGGAGCACGCTGGTGAAGTACATCGGTGTAGTTCTTTCTCCGTGTTTGTGCCTGTGTCGCGTCGGATAAGTGTGCGCTGTGTGCAGATGCAATTCCCACTGTTTATGTGTGGAAAGCCATTCGACTATTGTGTGCGAATGCAATCAGATTTCAATCTCTTCCCTCTATATGGCTGAGCTGCTGCGGCGGAGGTGCCCCCACGGGGAAATGTAATTATACCCTGCTGGCCACAGAGTACAGGCTTCACTGGCCTATCTGTCTCAGGAGAGACAGCGGCTGGAGGCCCCTTCTCACTTGCAATATCAAACAGCAGCGATGTCACTAAAGCCCTCTTATATCTGTGAATTTTGTATTAAATCCGTGCACCGCAATCTGCTCCTCTAATCAGCTTTTAAATCCCGGGGTTATCTGTGGCCTTTTGCAACAGTTTTGTTACAGTTGTGAATAATTTATGACAGAATTAACTGCGGTTGCTAAGAGCAGTGATTGGGAGATTTCAGAACACAGCCAATATCTGACTCAAGTTCAAAGCCATTTTTCTCACCTCTTTTTTTCTGTCTGAGAAGCGAAATCTTATCAGCGCAGATGTAATTATTGTCGTAATTGCTTTCATCTGCATTTTCTCCACCTGCGTCCTTCATGAATGGCATTGAGGCATTGAAGAGTTTTTTTTATTGATCAATCTCTGATGTATATTCCTCTCATCCAAGCATGTGCTTCTGTTTTCTATAGCTGTGGCTCCTCTGCTGCCTGCTCTCAGCTTTGCTCTGAGGTGTGTGCTGAGATGATGTCCATTAGTAAGACAAAACAAACAGACACACCCCACTCTCCTGAATTTAGGCAAACAATCAATGAGAGCACTCAGATAACAGCAGACTAAATGGCCCATTGATGTTATGATTAAATGAATACAGGATGCAGAGATGATGGTAGGACACACCGACCCAAACCGACTAAAATATATTATTTTCTCATCTGGAATTTATATATACTGTACAAAACATCTCTCAAACCCTCCTGCCCTGTTCGGGCACTGTCGGCATATGCTCAGGACACATGCCTCACAGTCGATCAATATTTTAGACTCCCACTCTTCCTCTGAACACTGAGGTTTTTGGTTTGTTTGGATTTTCTCTAGGAAACTTTTTCTTGGTATCTCCAGTTTTTTCTTTGCCCAAAGGCTCCACTGTCACTTCTGCAGGCTGCTCTCTCCTTGTCATTATGGTCGCTTCCCATTTCAGCTCTGCCAAGCCAGTCATGGCTTACTGATGTAAAGCAGACTGCTACCAGTGCTGGATTAATGGTGTATTACACATTATTGGTCACTTATTTAAAAAAAAAAAAAAAAAGGTCACACAGCTGTTGATTAAAAAAGCAAGCTTTGGATGCTTGGTTGGGAGCAGAATACGCTCAGTTTTTGTTAATAGAGTTGTGTTAGCATGTTGCATCCACTCCAGGAGCTTGTTGGCTTTTGATGTCCTGTTCACAGAAATGGATAGTTGCTTCTGTCCTGTGCACATTTTTTTCTTTTTGTGCAACAGTTTTGATGTGCATATCTCCATTTCTCAGCTGATGGGTCTATTATGATGTTCCTGTGTCCCACATGGACTTAAATCATGGATTATTCACAAGACACATTTGGGGGTTTTTCTGTCTCCCATTACTGTGATAATTAAAGAACCTAAGTAATGCAAGAAGGGATAAAATTGTTAGATTCATAATTATAATGTGATTGCTCTTCTTGGGAAATATAATGTCTTGCAGACAGATAAAATATGATTACAGTGTAGTGTTACTTTGAACTCCAGTACATTACAAAATAATAGATTGAACTGATCAGAGTGCTGATAGGCATAATGAGCGCTGTGTGATCTCGTTTGACAAAGGCTCAAATATGATTTAAAGTAAAGAAGAAATTAATAAATTTTAAAGAGAGAGAAAATGAAACAAAAAGCTATGACAAATGTGGGATATTCTTTAAGTCTTTGTTAAATCAGGAACAATGAGTTCAGCAGCAGTGAAGATTCCAAATGGAAATACTGAAAGTTGAAAATTTTACCCAGCAAATTTCAATGCATCATCCATTTCATCATGTTGTACCTGGTCATGGTAACTTATCAGAAGTTCAGCTGAGCCCGAACGCTTCTGTCTTCTTCATTTCCCTGATTTGCTACACTCTAGCTCTACCTTAATCTCAGTTTCTGTGTTCTTCGCCCTCTCTCCATCCCTGTGTTTAAGTCACAACTGCAGTTTCCCACCTCGTTGCGCACCCTCACCCCTCCCTCGTGCCTCTCCCTCAGGGTGTAGCAGTCATTGTTGTGCCAAATAAGGTTTATGGAATTACAGATCTCTGAAATTGGATTTTCTCACTCCACCAAAGCACTGGGATTACAGATTTAAGCCCGGGTGCACTGGGGCACAACTGACCTGTGACTGAAGTGTTTTTTTCTGGCTTCACCCCAAGGTGGCAGATCAAGAGATTGATGTGCCAACAGCTCTGGAGTGAGAAAGGCAGGCAGGCCGGCAGATTCTTTGTATCAGTATGTACCTGGCAATTAAATAGATTCAGAGTCAGACAGCTTTTTGGCTTGTGCGTCTGGATTTCTATTTCTCTCATGTCGACCACTCTCACTCTTACACACTCCTCCACGTCTGTCCTCACAACTTTGAGTGTGTTTGATCTAATTCTCATCTAATGAATCTTTTGATCTTCCTCGCCTGACACCCAGACACATCCCAGATTTCTACATCCCAAAGTAGCTCAATTCGTTCTAATCCTTAAAATCTGGCTGCTGGTGAAGCAATTGATTCCAAGTGATGTACAAAGATTTGCACTGTCTGCCCGAGGCTTGTTTAAAGAACTGTGGGATTTCTTAACTAACCTTGATCCTCCCCCACCCCTCCCGTCCCCTACAAATCTACCTCATCACACCTCTAGATCAATTCTGTCATTATCGCTCAAGTGATTGTACATTAACCACAACTGGAGTGAGGAAGCAGACAGCGCTGTGAATGCAACATTAAGATGTTGGCAGGAAGGTGGTATTCATTAGAAGTGGTGGCTTTGTGAACTCTTAATTGGAGAAGAGATAGGAGTGAGGGTAAGGGATCAATGGAGCCAGAACTGAAGTTTCAGTCCACTGACATCAATCAGTCGCCTCTCCAATGAAGAACGCAACTAATCAAAAAAACATTGCCTCAGGCTTCCAGTTATTTGCCCTCACAGTCAAACGTGATCAGGATCACTGTAAAAAGACAGCTCATTCCGGCTTATCTGGAGGATGAAGTCAGCTCGTAGCTTATATTTGTCAATATTTGCTTCAAAATGTCATTACTGTTTTGGTGTAAAACTGGCAAGAACCTGAAATTCTCTTCACAGAAAGGAATATTAAGTGAACCCCTGGTGTATTTTTACTCCACTGCTAAAAATAGTCCCTTCCTCTTCATCTTGCCATTGCCTGGGTAATAGCCATCTTTCTGCCGTGTCACGTTTTGATGTATCATTCTCTTATTCACATCAAGGACAAGGCCAGGTGTCACATTTTCTCTCAGTTGCCACGCTTGTCGTGCTTCCTTGTCACCCTTGGCCTGTTCCAATCCCCTCCTTCCCTCATCTCCCGCTCTGCTTACTTTTTATTAAATCTGTCACTTCTTTATCTCAGGGATTGAGAAAGAAGGAAAATCACTTTTGCCATTTGCAGCCTGCTGTGTCTGCTGAGTTCTGCGAATGTATGTGGATATCATTTTTCGCCACATAAAATCCTGTCAAAATAAATAATGTCTCAGATGTTTTGTGTTGTCACATCACTGAAATGCTTAGCTTTAAATGCCTATTCCGGTTACTTGTATGACTACTACACATTTTTAGATGGACAGATAAACAGGCACAGGTGCACAGACTCACCTCTCTTTGATGCCCATGAGTGGCTAGGAGTGCTGGCTTGGGCAGAGAGCAGCTGGGGTCAGAGACGTGCCTTGGCAGCGAGATGACAGTGGGCTTTCCAGCATATTCTTAGCTATGCTTCACATACCAAATGGCTAGGGTTTTGTGTGTGTGCGTGTGTGTGCACGTGCATATGCACATCACCACTGTGCGTGTGCAAGACACCTCATCAAAGATTTCACAGAGTGTTATGGAGATGTCGAAGTTGGTTTTGGCTTGCCTCAGATGTTTACATGCTGGACACTGACACCTGTCCAATCAGAACAGGGATCAGACAGCTCCATTCCTGTCAGCATGTCTTCACAGACAGACACCAAACAAGGCCTTGCAGCTTACAAGATCACAACTGGAGACATTTGGAGACATGTAGATAGTGTTAGATGGCAGCTTGATGGAAAGAGGAGGGTGAAAAAAGCTATTTTTCTGTAGCTCCACTGCTTCTGACACCTAGTATTGTTTGCCTGGCTGAAATTTAGCAGCAATTTCATAGTGTTATGAAGGCAAACGGGTTGTTATCACTATTGCTAAAAATGTCCCAGAGAGTAAGAGGTAATTATGTTAAAATCAGATCATTTATATTCTGGTACAGGTCTAATTAAACCACCTCCTGAACTATTGCCTGCTTCCTCAGGCGTCACAACATCCATCATACATGGACTATCTTGTTTGAATACCGTGTGTACACCAGATGTTCTCAGTCATTGGGCTATGTGTGAAAGAAGAGTAGCATTTCAGAGTGGCATCTAGACAGAGTACTTAATGGCATCTTTTAGGGTGGAGCGGAACAAATCAAGCTGGGGTCAAGCATTAAAAAAATATTTGTTAAAAAAAATAATGCAGTAGCAACAATATGGAATAATCCGGCTTTGTTTGAGCTTCTAAACTGAAGTAACATATGTTCCAAGTATTCAACCACTCTGGACTTTGTGTTTGCTTACAGGATTTGGCAGTGAGAGGCTGATTTCTGTGGGAGAGAACATCTTTGGCAGCTTGTTTAGAAAAGAAGGTAAGGATGTTCACCTCTCAAAGAGAATTTTCCATCTGTTAACATCCCCGTGGATGGAGTTTTGTCTCGTTTCCACAGATAGGTTTCTAAAGATGTGGATCAGTGCATGTCTTTACGTTTCTTCGTGAAATCAAATCACACAGATTTGGTCTTTTCTGGTTATCTGATTTTGTACTTTTTGGGTATCACACCTTCATCTTCAGAAATAAGTCAGGGACTGACTTATTACTTTTTCCCGTTACTGTGGATTCTCCTTATTCCTGAGAAAACTGCAGGTTACGGTTAGTGTCAACACTTTATTTCCTACAATGGGGATGAAATCATCTCTTCCAAAGACATCACGTTGCTTCAGCCAGTCCCTTAATCACATCAGCTCATTTGATCTGAATGCCAGTGATTACCACTTGGTTCTGCACAAATAAAGGCACGGTTGTTATTGCTTCTGCAGAGAGGGACATCATGATGAAAGAAATCTGTGGGTGTTTTGGTTGCTGGCCACAGCAGATGCACCCTCGTCAATAGAAATGGTAGTTATGAATAGGAAAAAAAGAGTGAAATGAATGCTGTAGAGTGTTGGGTGAGGTGAGACTAATGAGCTGGTTATAAAGCGTAGACTTTTTATGAAGAATCACCTTCACCCCCTGTGGCTTTGGGTTAGATTAATGTATTATCTAAACAAGTAATGATAGGACTGGACACATTTTATGCTTTAAATTAGTTGTTAGATGTGTCACTGTTACTTTGTCCTGATTTCCAGTAACATAGTCGTGCTGCTGCTGTGATCAGAGTCATTCTGTGTGAACAGTTGGATAGCTGCAGAAGAAACTGCTCTCTGTACATGTGGGTATATTATTTGCACAGCTGTGTACAGCTGTCTCATTACCACTTGCAAAAACATCAGTATGCAGGGCAGTTCTCCTTTCTGGTTAACAAACAACTGCTACAAAGGGCTCCTAATATACATGCAATAGTTTACTGTTTTGTTTGTGAAGACAATATGCCTCACTATGAAACTTGTATTGACAGACGATTTAAGGCAGCTCAGCTCTGATATAGCTTCTGTTTCTGTGACACTAGCAAGAGCAGACAGGTGAATGATGTGCCTTTGCTAAAATATTCTGTTTGAGGACTGATCTCCACTTCAAACCCCTAGTTTGAGGACAGCATTCACCTCTCTCTTTCTTCCTCCTCTTCTTCCTGGTAGAGAGAGCCTTCGGCAGTCAGTGCAGGATAAAAACCAAAGTCTGCTAGAGAAACTCTTCAAAGGTACAGTTCATTCGCTGAATGAAGACCTCATCAATTCAGCCTCCCCTCTTAAACCAGTGTCCTTTCCGCAGAGTTCTGGTTGTTTATGAACAAAGTTGTTTGATATATCTCCACTATTCCTTGCAGCTGATTGCATAAGGTGCTTTTGATATCGTGTGAGTGACAAAAGGATATTTTTCCCTAACCGCTTTGGATTAGCCAGTGGTGGGTGCAGGTTTCTTACATCCAGCCTAGGATATTTGATGCACACAGCAGGGGTCTTGGAGCATTTTCCTGACCCTCATTTTCCACATCAGCAAGACAGAAACTCCCGGCTTGCTTCCATGCACCATCCTGCCTTCTGCCCACTGATTAAAAGTCAAATATTAAAGTGCTCTGTTGTGACCACGGCCTAATTGATTCTTTCCGCCGGGTGCACACAGAATGGGCTGACAGCAGGCGATACCAGGCTTTGTCAACATCGGGCATGCTGCCTGACGCTCAGGACGGCACCCCAATAAAGCCTCCTGTGAGTGTGCCAACCTGCGGCCCCACACACACTGAGGCCACTCGGCACTCCGGCCAAGCTTTATAGTAAAAACAGAGGCAGCTCATTCTTTTGCTGTTTGTCAGCTTCCATCAGCTAGCTGGGAAGCTCACTTTTTATTTTTAAGGAAGTTGCTGCCTGTGACAAAAGTGTGTGTGTGTGTAGGTCCACACTTGAAAAAAATCCCTTTAGTCCACTTGCATAACCTCTCATCTAACTTAAGCAATCTGGGGCGATGGTGCTGAAAGGCGCATTCAGCTGAATGCAAAGTTCCACAAAGGGCCCTCTTCTTTTTTTTCCCATCCCCAGTTTCCTGCCGTTAAGATAATTACTTTAATAGATATTAATCACAGCTGTGTTTAAAAAGGAGCTTACAAAACACACGATGACACCGAGTATCTCATCACCAGTCTGTGATAAATGCTGGATAGGTGTTGGTGGTTCTTACACTCTATGAGCTACAGTGTAGGAATCAAATTTCTTTCAGGTGCTCCCTTATCCACAAAGGCGTGCCACAGCAGGTAGCTTCACATGTTTGATTTGACAGACTTTTTTTTGAACAAGACGTCTCCTTCTAGAATTGAACCATGGATCCTTTGTTTGTTAAGTAAATGTGTAAAGCACTACACTATAGGAACGCCTAAACTGAATTTCTACAGCAGTAAAACAGTGCGTTTCTCCACTCTGTATGTGAAAGAAATGCAGCGTCCCTGTGCCTCTCTTGTCGGCTTACCCTATGAATTTACTGGCCATTTTATGTACACCATGAATTGGCTTTGCTCCCCATCTATTTTTAATGATTTCTGACTGCACAAGAGAGGGTTACAGTGATCTTAACGCCATATGATGTTCATTAAATGCAGACATTCATTTACAGCATTTTTCTCATGAATGTGATTGACCTTTTTGCTCAGTGTGAACCACAGTAAAAGGGTATAGGTGCCTATTAACCGCTTCATGGTTGAAAAACTGGGTATATCTCCTATCCTGTCTGGTGCTTTATGTTCTGTCTGAGCTGATAGGAAGGCATTATGAGGTTTTGTGTGGGTGCAGCGGTCACAGTGAGGTAATGGTGCAGTAATTATGCCTTTAGTAAAATGGGGTCGTGCGCTGCACTCTTTGCAACACAAGGTTGATGAACTCCATCCCAGCGCTGTTAATTGATGCCTGATTGAAGAAAGTGGGATAAAACAGAGAAATCACCCAAGAGAAAAAGTCAGCAGGTTGCAATTAAACAAGTGTAGAGTATTTTGAAGAGGTTATCAACAGAATATATACAATCTCCAATTAGGAATTTAAATTTCTTTTCACATCCTGTTTCAGTATGATCGATTGCCAGCCCAGCTCTGGATTGGTCCCTTGGCTGCTTCAGGAGTAAAGGCCACTGTGAAATAACCACGATGTCCTCTGAGCAGGGTTTCTATTCTTCCCCCATCCTGTTACTTTCCTGCTGCAGATCCCAGGAGAGGTTCCAGAGGCTGAGTGGGGGTCATGATCACACTACAGGAGGGCGACAGCCGGCTGCCTTTCTGACAGGGGTCTAATGGAGGCCTAATAGGAACTAGTCAAGTTCCAGAGGCCTCTGCTTTGACCTTGAATTTCGCCTGTGGAGGCAGGTAAAGAGGAGGATGAGGGATGGAAAAGGGAAGTGATATTGTAGAAGCTGACAGGCAGGTGGTTTAAGCACCTTTCTGGCTCTCCGAATCTTTTTTTTTTTTTTTTACCTTTGATTGGGCAAGTGTGTATGTCTGTGTGTCACCATGAGTCAGAATACATTTTAAAAAGTATATATTACCTTAAAATTTATTTAACTATTCTTTTTATTGATATTATAATTGTGTGTGTGTGTGTGTGGGGGGGGTATTCATATATATGAAAAAAAAACTTTTTGTTTTGCAAGTAACTTTCAAGTTTGAATAATTTCATCAAACTTTAGTGCATTATTGCCGTATTTGAAATGCAACAACATTTTTTTTTCTTCAGAATAACTTAATTACAAATCGTTGCAACAGGTTTGAAGGTTATTAGCTTTGGCCAAGTGCACTCAAGCAGCTTTCTTTCACTGCATATTGATTGGACATAAAATGATACATATGGATCCAAAGCACAAGGAAACAATGATGAATTCAGTTCAGTCAATTGTGAAAACCCCCAAAGATAACTGTAATTATGAATATTTAATATTAACCTTCTTTCTGCTCTTACTTACTAATATTTGTTCACACATGTAAGGATGTGTGTATGTGTCTTTTTCAGTCAGTAATTCAAATCACAGGAAAGTCAGGCCTGCAGGGACAGCTGATGAGCATTATCCACAGTAAAGAGAGACCCACTCCTGCCTGATCAATCTGAGCTCTCATTAAAAGGCTGCCAAGCCCTTTGCAACCCAATACAATATCAATACTGTAGCACCACAAAGGGACCTCCAAAGCTGTTAGGCAAGTCGCTGGCAGCTTAACTGTCATTACTGGGTGGGCACAATGCCAGAGACCCCCTTTGTGGGCCACTTAGGCTCCCCCCATGGTCCCAAACACAGGTCAGGACAGACAGATGGGCTGTCTGGGCAGCTGTCCCGAGGAAGAGATGGATGCCGACCTGTAGAGGAGGAGACGGCCTGCGCTCTCTCGCAGTATAGAGGGATGATATAGACTGTGTGTGTAGAGAGTGTGGAGTTACACACACTGCGGTCTCAACCGTGGCTTGTTTGTTTGCAATGCATGAGTATTTTCTGTGTTGGTTTTTCTGTGTTACCAAAGCTGATGTTTACACAGACAGACACAGATGTTTGCATTTAAACTGAACCAAAAACAAAGAGTTTGCTTAAAAAGACACACTCTGTGAACTGTGTTGTTACAGAGGAAAAACATTCCGGGTTTGGGCATGTAGCCTAAGATTCCTGCTGGGAAAACCATAAGCAATGAATGGCACTCTGTGGTGATTTCCAAGTAGAGCAAATGGGGGGAATATAAGTGACCATACATAGAAAGCCTCTGTAATTCAGATCATTGTGTGGAAATCTCCCCTCTGTGCTCTAGTCCTAACCCCTGTGTGGTTCCGATAGGAGAGGGAGGGATAAGCCAGTAATCCACTGACAAAAGGGCCAGGAGAAAGCCAGCTAGCAAAGGTGGGGGGGTAAGGACAGAGAATGGGAGGAGTGAAGAAGTAAAGAAGCATTTGTTGCCTCTCAAAGTCCCAAGGGTGTGCTTAACTCCAGATAAGATGGTCCTCACCATGCTCACCGGTCCTGGCCATCCCCATGCTGTGTAGGGCCTCTTTGAATAGTTAAGAGCCATTGTTTATCCGTTAAGTAAAAGATTGGCAAGTCTACAGAAGTGATTACTTCAGAAGCAGCTCAACTGTAACTTCCTACTAGCGTATTGATTTATCTGAGCTGTCTTTAATTTATTCAGCGGGTGGCCGGCAGTTGTTTACTGAAAGTTGAAACTGATATTGTCCGTAATCATCATTAAGTCTGGGCCATAAGGAGAGGGAGAAGTCCCCACTGCCGCTGCTAATTTGATAATAGGAGAGGAATGGCATGTAATTAAAAGACAACAGATGACAGCTTAAAACCTGTGAGTCCAGTGGAACAAGATGTGTGCAACTCATAAACCAAAGGCGCACAACCTTATTTAGAAAAATAACAGCAACGAACTTTCAGCAGATAATTATCACTGTGGGAATCTCAATATTGTTCTCATCAAGCCTTTTCGTATTATGCAATTCTTAGCAGACCACGTTGTGGATTGATGTTAGATTTTTCAATGCTGCAGCAGTTACACAATGTCATACAGAAGTCATTTGGCTGCTCTGAAGTCTCAGTGAGGTATTTAGGTTGGTGGAACAATGGCCCCCGGCTGATTTGTCCGTTATCCATTTAGCTGAGATGTGACACACTGTAGGGGGGCTTTGCCACTGGTCAATAAGTGCCAATAAGAAACAGTCATCACTCAGCGGGCTGCCCTGTCCACCAGCGTGCTCACTTGTTTCAGCTGTCAACCCCCATGTCAAAGGAGCTAGCGACTGAGCCGCTCTTTCGGATGCATCACAAACGGCTTTCCCATATACAAACCTGAATAGGACAGGAAAGGCAAGGACACTCAGAGACTGCAAAGCAGGGCGATTTTCCCTCAGACATCTGAATAAACCCATCTGAAGTGAAAAAAGCTACGTATTTGCAAAACACCATTGACAGTTGCTCATTCTCTCAATCTTAAGTCCCTGGAGGTGGGGCCGTGGGGGGTTGAACTCAAGTCAGGGACAATCGTGGCTCTGTTTGTGTTTTCTCTAACACCTCCGTGTTCTCTTTGGGCTCTCATGGAGCGTACCGCAGGGGTGCATGAGAGGAGGGGTAAGTGCCGTGACCCTGAAATGGTCCCTGACTGGAGCCCCTCACAAAATCCTGCAGACCACCACGCTAGCCTTACATGCCACCCGGTTGCTGCTGGAAACAAAGCGCAAAGTGGACATGTGTGAATCAAAGTGAAAAGTAGCATCTTAAGAGTTCAAGAGTGAATCTGGTTAATAAAGAAATCCTCACTGCAGTAGGTTTTTATTTGTGGTGTGGCTGAGTCCATTATGGGGAAGATCTTCACTGATTTAGTTTGATAAACCCTGAGGAGACCAAAAGGTAGATCTGTGATGTCCCTGTAATGCCTTTGAGAACAATACAACAATATGATTCTGTTCATTTCCTCCAGATTCAGAGATAATTAGCCTAACTGTTGTTTTCCTCTTTTATGTCCCCTCATTGGAAAGAGAAGTTTGAAGTCTGATACACACAGTGTGGGTGTGTTTGTGTGTCTACCGCTCAGTATGTGTGTGCGCGTGTGAGACGTTGTGTGTACTTTTATAGTCAACAGAGCAGAGTCTGTCAGAGCTCTTTGTTCTCCGGCGAGAACACATCATGACTGGGCCTTTTGTCTGAACTGACACCATCATACAGTCTCTTTTTCTACCTCGCTCTCTTTCGTCTTCCTCTCTCTCTCCTCCACCCTCTTATTTTTTTCCAGCAAACTGTTCACCCACCTTCCCATCACTTTCTCCCTCACGCATTGAAACCATTTAAAAGATAATGGGCCCTGTGGATTATGGAGGTATGGCGATGATTTTTTTTCCTTGTGTCTGTCTGGGTGCTTTAGCTTTGTGAGGAAGTCAGAGTATAGCGTGACTACCAGAAAATGACTACTGAGGGCAGTTTTTTTTTGCATTTATAATTTATTGCCATCTTTGTTTGTTACCCTACATTTATGTAACTTTTACTTAGGGCCAAAATTTTAACATCACAGCGTGGCAACCAGATAAAGCTGTTCGATGTCTCCTTCTTCAAGCATGGGGAGTAATTCGCTACCTCCAGCATCTACGTTCCCTCTGTGAAGACTTTCCAGGAGGTTTGATAACCTGGCATGAGCATGAGGTCACTGATAAAGTGCAACTTACATAGATGTAGCTTTCTGAAAAGACCCAAAAACTCTAATATTTACTCCACTACCCCCAACACTGCTGTAAAAACATGAAAAAAAGGAGAATTTACAAACGACTCCGACACAGGTGGGGCTTTTCTCCCTCAGCAATAGGTCTGGTGTCTTTTTTGTTCAGTTTATTTCCTTGTTTGTTTTTTTAATTCCCCAAATCTGAATTATGCATTTATACAACCACTGAAGGTTGTGAGGTAAAGATAATTATCTCTGACACACTCACAGTGGTGTTATCTCAGTTAGCAGCTACACAGTGTCTCACTTTGTGCACGCTCAGGCTGGACGATCACCACGAAGAAGGAAAAAGTAAGTGATAGAGACATTTTCTTACAAAGTATTTTATTCTTGTTTTGTTAATGTACAATGAAATGTATCCTTTTGGCTGTAGCATTTATAACACTGCCTCACTGTCTCTGTGTGAGGGGAAGTTGTGAAAAGCAAGGTGGAAAGTAACCAGGTGAAAGCTGCATGAACCAGCGTGGTTCTGTAAAACTTGGATTCAGAAATTGAGCAGTTGTTTGTTAGATGTGTCAGAATAAAGCTACATATAACTGCACAACTAATGTTGTGTTACACAGGATGTGTAGCTACTTTCTGCACAGGGTTGTGCAAGGTGTGCAGGAAAGGCTGCTAGGGCTCATAGCATTAGCCTGACTCGGCAAACTAATCTGACTTTATTTTGTACACAGTGGGAGGTGGCACACATTTCAGTAGGTAAAAATGCGATTATTGAAGTGATTAATGGTTTTAAGATGACTTTTAAATACGTATGCAATGTTTGTATGACCAATATTTAATTTGTCCATTGTGTCCAATTTTGGATATTTTCTGTGTGCTTTTGTCATATAGTCAGTTTGTTTTAAACACTATTAAATTAGTTGCATCCTTACTGGAAATGGGCAAAGACAACAGAGGACAGCAGTGTGAATCATGTCTGTGTTTACTCAGCAGCCATAATTTTTTAATGAGAAAAGTTTGTTGATAATTAGTGAGAAAATTGGGGAATAATTATTTGAAAATGATGCAGAATGCCTGAGAGTTTCATTGTGTTATATTTTAGTATGTGCCGAACTGTCACCTGCTCTTCGATTTTTTTTTCAGTTTTGCTCTATATGTGTGTTTTTTCTGCATCTCTTAAT